ATACGCATCAAAGGAAAGAAATAATAGGTGGTTTAATTAGTGGAGGGTCTACAAGGTATGAATATATGTAATTAGAGGATATTGACTAAATATTAGTATACGGAAATTATGTATATTAGAAAATATTATTACCTTGTATAGTTAGAATAATTGTAGTAATAACTTAAATATTATAGGTATTAGTAATTTAGTATAAATAGGTCCATTGTATATGAATATTGGGAACCACTCGAGAAATATATCGTTATTATTCTATTTTAACTATTCTTCTTGGAGCCCTCACACGCTCGAAGTGTAAAATTGTAGTTTGTCGTGACTTAAATACGGTTAGGAGCCAGAAGCTTGCTCGAAATGTTTCTTTCGTTCCGTACTAAATTTCAGTACGTAACAGACAATTTGACCCAGAGGGTATTGGGAAGTTCAATTATCTCATATTTTAAATGTATTTATTGTTGGAAAGATATGATGGAAACCTACAAGCTAAATAACTGGAGCAAAACCCTTAACAAATTCATGTTTTATAGGACTTGAGCACGCATGTGTAGGGGATGAGAACTGATTGTATTATATTTTCTGAACTTAATTACAATGAGATCAGATGATGTGAATATATACAATAGAGAGTCACAGTGTGATAAGGATAAGAAGTAGAGAGTCACAGTGTGACAAGGATAAGAATTTCTAAACAGACTCAGATACATAAAGTCCTAATACTCCCCCTCAAGCATAGTGTATACTAGTAACTTGTAGCTTGTCCCTTAGGGAAGAAAATCAAGGTCCAGGCAGAGCTTCGAAGATATCAGCAAGTTGATCCTTTGTGGAGATGAAGTTGACTTGAATATCGCCCGAAGCTACTCGATCATAAACAAAATGATAATCAATCTCCACATGCTTGGTGCGCGCATGAAAGATTGGGTTGGCACTCATATATGTAGCTCCTAAATTATCACAGCATAATTTTGGAATGGAAATACCCGGAATCTGTATATCACGCAGTAATGACGTAATCCATAGAACTTCAGCACAAACATCTGCATGGGCTTTGTATTCAGCCTCAGTGGATGACATAGGAAGAGTTCT